TGAGTTAATTGAAGAAACGAAAGAGGAGGAAGTAAAGGTCAAATGTTCTGGTGCATTCAATACCACTAAACATTTGTGGGCTGGTGCTGTTGCTGCCATGGTTTCAAGGTTTATTTCCTTTTCTTCTTTCTTTTTAATATCTGTAATTTTTTATGGGTTTTAATTTGCAATCATATTAGTAGTTTAGCACTAATGCACCCGATCCCATCAGAACTCCGCGGTTAAGGCTGTGTGGTCGAACAAGTTTGTGTAGTCCACCTTTTTTCAGCAAAATGTTGTTGCATGATCCGAAATGTGTAATTGTATAGCTCTATTATTATTTATGCCTTGAAAAAAAAAATTGAATCTTGCTGTTTATAAAGATATCAAACTTGCAATTAAAGTTAAAATCTAGATATATATGGTTAGTAAAAGCTGATAATATTGATAGATTGATGAATATTTCGGTGTTATAATCTATTATCTGAGACAAAGGGAGTAGCTTTTATGATATCAATATTGGAATTTGGAACTCCTTGCCATTTGTATTTTATAATCTATTATCTGAGACAAAGGGAGTAAGTATTGGGATTTGGGTTCTAGATAATTCCGGCAATAGTCATCTTGCTCTTAGATTAAGTGTATAGTGATTCTCTGGGAAAAAAAACCCTCTTTTGGGTTATTTTGAATGAATGGCAAAGATTGTGTAGTTTTAAATATTTGAGATAGCTTCCAATGTTCAATTATTTTTGCCGAAGCCATTAAAAGTAAAATTGGTGCTGAAGCTCTAGTTTTGCAAAGAGGTGTTAGGGTAATTAGGTTTTGAGGAATAAGAAATTTGGATAGTAGAGAGATTTTTTGTGTTGTGAGCCTTTGGAATTTGGGAAAGTTCAATGGAAGATTGCTGATATCATGAAAACTCTCTATTAGAACAATTCAGTAAGGTTTTCACCAATAATTGTAACAGGGAGACTGCTCATATATTGTCTAACCATAGGAAGCATATCTATTTTATCTTATTTAGGTTTGATGCTTTTAATGTTTATTCTTCATCTCTGATGCACGGAAACTTCAAAATTCATTGACGTATCGTTTCCGAAACGTTTCGGAAACGTTTTACGTTTCGAAACGCGTTTCGAAACGCATTTGAAAGTTTCCTGGCTTTGCAAAACGTCTCACACCATTTGAAAGTTTGGAAACCTTGGGGAAACTTAATCAGGGGTATATAAAAGCGTTTCCCCTTTAAAAAAGCAATTAAACCTTGGTGATTTGGGGTTTATTTTTGTTTTAATTTGAGAAAGAAAGGAAATAATCTTACAAATTACCGTCATCGTTCATCTGTGTGACTCTTGTATGTCCGTATGTAGAAGATTAAGAGTTAGAGGAAAAGCCTAAACTACTTTGTCTTGTTATGATGAACAATTTTAGTTTTTATTCGCAAGTGATGATCTTGAATTGTCTGCAACTCTGCATATATATTCTTATTGCTTGAGAAGAAGAGGAAGATGAATGAAGGTGGGGACATTGAATTAGAAAAAAGAAATAGTTTGGTCTTTAATCAATTGATATTATATTCTGATATGAAGTAAATATCTTTATTTATTTTAATTTTTTCGTTTCCCCGTTTCTTATAATTTAATAATTTTTCGTTTCCCCGATTCCCTGTTTCCTCGTTTCCGTTTCCATTTTCCGTTTCCGTGCAACCTAGTTCTTCATCTACCATCTGAAGGTTGAATAAGGTTGGTCCCTTTTGTCCCAAAGCAATTTCTCATTATAAACTGGCCACCAAGGAGAAGAATTCCAAAAGGGGAAAATGGGAAGTTTAATTACAAAAATGTATTTATATGATGAAAGTTTTTTTTTGTTCTCTTATACCTACAATGAATGACTTACAATACATATAAGGAAAAGTCATTGGAGCTATTTAAGTAATCATAGTGTTGTAATCCTTAAGTGACACTTGTTTTGTGAATGGATTAAGCTTGTGAATAACCTCTTATTTTGTTCCAGGACCTTTGTTGCCCCTCTCGAACGATTAAAATTGGAGTATATAGTTCGCCATGAGCAGAAGAATTTGTTTGAGCTCATCCAAACAATAGCAACTACACAAGGAATCAAAGGCTTTTGGAAAGGAAATTTTGTCAATATCCTTCGAACTGCTCCTTTTAAGGCGATTAATTTTTATGCTTATGATACGTATAGGAATTACTTTTGCAAGTTATCTGGAAATGAGGAGGCTGCAAATTTTGAGAGATTTGTTGCTGGTGCTGCTGCTGGTATTACTGCTACCTTACTCTGCCTACCCATGGACACTGTATGTGGTAAAAACAGAAATTTCACTTGCTTTAATTACTTCATTGTCTGAAAGTTTTGTGCATTTTGTTTCTGGTTTTGCCAAAATGTTGTTATTTGACAAAACCTTCCTTAACTTCTTCTCCTCATTACTTGAAATTTTACTCTGCTCAAAAGTAAAGAAATGTCTTTTAACTGTTAAATGTTGAATCATTCTGGTTCACAACTTGAATATGTCTGTGTCTGACAAAACTGCATCATCAACCAGTGAATGAGGATCCCTTTAGAAGTAATTAAGTAACGTGAAAAAGGAAACCTCGTACAGAAGTAATGTGAAAAAGGAAATCTCGTACAGTAAAGCAGCATTGCATATGATCCTTTTGATTATCAATTAGGATTGTTTGGTATCTGGATTAGAGATATCCTGTATGATTATAGCATATAAGTCATTCTTTCCAGTATGAAATGGGCAAGGACAGAATCCTATTGTTATGTATTAAGCCCAAACTTATGGGGATTATCTGTGTCACAGATAGTGGAAGATTTTACTATTGTCTTCAGAAATTCTTTTGTGCACCTAGGTGACCCAATGATAAATTTTGCTCATTTTAAGAATTTGAAAAGAGCAGAAGAATACCCTTGGGTACCTAACTGTAGGTGCACATTATAAAAATTTTCACTTTTGTCTTAAATTGACTCTCTGCAAATGTAGGCTATTCCAGAACCCCCTATTAAACCAACCTGGCCATAAAGGAGAAGAATTGTTTGTAATTAAAAGAATTGAAGCATCGAGAGTCAAATATACGGAGTACTTTTTTTTCGTCCTCTGTTTCTTTAATTTCAAATCTACGCATTTTCGTTAGCGTAGCTTTCAGTTTCAATGAATCTTGAAACATATTATTTGCTGGCTCTGGATTTTACTCAGATGGCTGATTAAGCCCTGCACTTCAATTTTGTTAATTAAAATAATCTGTATGCTTGTTACGGTTCAGATCAAAGTTTGTGGGAAAAGTCCTCTGCTATGGGGGATAAGTCTGTGTTTCAGATCTGGACTGTTTCCTGAAACATAAATCTTCATAACATCTCTCATCACTTGTAAAAATATAAATCACATGTTTTTGTTTTTTTTTTTTACTACGTATAACTTTCTCATTGTTTCAGATCAGGACTGTTATGGTAGCTCCAGGCGGTGAAGCTCTGGGTGGTGTCATTGGTACTTGCCGCCATATGATCCAAACTGAAGGATTCTTTTCTCTGTATAAGGGCTTAGTCCCGTCACTTGTAGCAATGGCTCCTTCTGGTGCAGTATTTTATGGTGTTTATGATATATTGAAAGCATCTTATTTGCATTCACCTGAAGGGATGAAAAGAATAGAAAACATGAAACAGCAAGTAGGAGACCTTAATGCTCTGGATCAGCTGGAATTGGGTCCTGTTAAAACACTGCTTTATGGGGCAATTGCTGGGGCTTGTTCTGAAGCTGCTACTTATCCGTTTGAGGTTGTTAGAAGACAGCTTCAATTGCAGGTGCGGGAAAGAAAGTTGAATGCTGTGGCAACTTGTGTCAAGATAGTAGAGCAAGGAGGTGTTCCAGCACTGTATGCTGGATTAATACCAAGCTTATTACAGGTAACTCATTACTTGAGCTGGGAAGTAGAATGTAAAAAGAAGAATTGTGTTATTATTTATATACTGTAAAAATTAATATAAAAAGTGAAGTATCATACATCACTTGTGGCAATCAATGAAGCTATCTGACTATATGCTGTAACTTTTACAGGTTTTACCATCTGCTGCCATTAGCTACTTTGTCTACGAGTTTATGAAGGTAGTTCTCAAAGTGGATTCATAGTTCTGCTATTTTGCAACAATAGAGCAGCAAGTCTTTCTTAGTTGCTTGGAAGTTGCAGTTATTACTTTCGGCTCAGCTGATGAATATGGACGTGTAAACATGAAGAAAGCCAGTATAATTTCACCATGCTTAGTCTATAGTATCTTCTCACCGACAGTTCTTTGTCAGAGCTAACGTTGATGATTTGCTGGAGAATGAGGATAACATCGTGTCATGATTATCTTCCCTTATTGCTTAGGAGTTCAGAAGTTTGGAATGATTCTCAAGTAGTTGTCCTTATAAGATTATATTGTAGCTGTTGGACATGAACCACATGGCCACATATATTTTACAAATCAGATGTGGATGCAGCTCACTGGTGTCAAATTTTAGATGTGTTGGATGCATTGTTGTCTCCAAAGACAACTGATACAGAGCTTAACAGAAGTTTTGATGGTGTACTTTGCTCACAGAAAGAAGTATATGTGAGCATTCTACAATTGGGTTCTTAATTTGAAGTTTACAGTCAACTCCTCCGCTGACATTAGATGTAGAGCCTTGGTACTAATCTTGTGCAATGTCATAGCTGACATTATTTGATATAGCTCTATCATCGAACCAAAGAAATGTAACTTGTCATCATCACTTAAGAATAGAATCGTATCATTGGTTGTTACTTGTTCGCTCTATTACATCATTTTCAAGTTGGATTATAGAATTATGTGTCAAGAAATATTGAAAAAGGTGTGTCTAAGAAGAATGTAGATAGGGTAAAAGGTGTGTCAAAATAAAGTAGAATCATGTAAAAGATATTAGATATGGGAGTAGAAATGTGAAAATCAGGTAAAATTTATGAATTGAACATTTATATACCCGAAAATGGAAAGTGAGTCAACAATTATGTACACATTTACATAGAAATGCATCCAAGCCAAATTTGCATTTTTTGTTACCTTGACTATTAAAGAAGTTTGGAGTCTTGCTCACCATGTCCTCTAAAGTAATATATTTATCAGTGCACTACATCAACTAACACACCAATTTCTGAAGCTACAATTACAGGGAAAGCCTTACAGATAAGATCTAGTTTGAGTAATACTCAACTCATTAAAGAACAGAAAAAAAATGATTGTACTTTGAGACTCCCATCTATACAAGTGAGAAACCACACTTTGTGGTCTAGCTCACAAAGTCAAGTTATAAAGAAATTTCTACCCTCATTGCTTCACATTATGATATATATCATAGTATCTTATACCAAGCAAAGGTGCAAAACTACATACACCTTTCACTGTTGCCATCCATATTGCTGATTTCGAATATTAGTTATTGGGTTTGGACCTCTATGTGAAAATCCTGGCGGTCCAGCTGCATAACAAGGAGTGGTCGATCGGTTAATCATATTACTTGCAGCATATGGACCAACCCGCCCGTGAGGAGGATATGCCCCTATAGAAGTACCGCCAGCTTGAGCCTGGACCCCATGGTTCTGGTTGTATCCAGCAGTCAGATTTATATTGGGGGGATACCTATTTGATAATCCAGCATCAACAAGAGGTTCACAATACGGGTTGCTAGGTAAGGTAGGTAAGGGTCGTTGCAACTGGTTCATGGAAAGGTTGCGCTCAGGCTGATGCTCTTGTTGGACCTGCCCACTGTGTTGAATAGGAGGAAGACGAGCATGTGGTGGTGGGCAACACAAATTCTGTCTTTTTGCAGTTTCCTCATTCAACTGCTGCTGTTGTCTCTTTCTCTTTATTTGGAACTCATGCGATGCTTCATATTTGGGTAAGCTGCACCATCAACAACTATTCACAAAACTCATCACAGCAATAGTTCAATCACCTAATTAGAAACCAGTATAATGTCTACATGACTTAGAAACTATGACATTCATTTGCAGTATACAAATACAGTTATAAAAGATAAGAAAAACAAAGTAAGACACCTCTTTGGGTCGCAAGGTAACGGCTCCATCTGGAAATATTCAGCAGCAAGTGCATCTTTGGCAGATATCCTCTGTATACAAAAGAAACTTAATCCTCATGACAAAGCATTTAAAGGAAAGTGGGAAATAGTTTATATCGCCATTCAAAAAACCAGAAACTATCAAGGGGCCTGCAGATATAGAAGTTTCAAACAAAAAAATTCAGGAGGAGTCTAACCCTCACTGTCATCCTAAAGACAAGACAGCACACAACAAAAAGGTTTTTGAAATCTGAATATAGTAATATACCTTAGATGGATCAAGGATCAGCATTTTGTCCAGTAAATCAAGTGCATGTGAGTCGAAACTGTTAAAGGCAGCAAAAAAAAGTAATTAAGTTTAGGACACTGTAGCAAAATACATAATGGGTTAGTGTAGGTAATGGAAAGATAGCATCAGATATAGACTAACGTACTGTCTCAAAACCTCTCTCAAACGTCGACGCATGGGCCTTGCAGGCTTGAAGTTATTATACCAACGAATCTTGGAAACACCAGGCCAATTTACTTCATCAGGACTTCCACAAAGTTCAAAAATTTTGTGCAGTTGCTCTGGCTATATAATGGAACACAGGAAATCCATGTAAGAAATGAGATTGATAAAGGTGCATCCAAATAGGAAAAAGTAACATCATGAACTATATGCAAAGATATATGATGCGCTCCACCTAATGCATTCTGCATAGGACCAAAATTTCATTAAAGTTCATTTTCTTAAAGCAAGGTCTCATTGAAATAGAGCCTATGAATCTATGATGCATAAATTTTGGTCCAAACAGCTCCTAAAATACATAGCTTCTACAATAACATTCAAAAGTGCAATCACAATTATTCACCTCAATTATCCAACTTTTCTGAAACAAAGTGAGTCCTACTTTAATTGTAGACTCATCGTCTCATACATGACAACAGAATGAAGATCACTACTAGTCTCATGCATCTTTCCATCAAATATTCAACAAAGAGGAAAACGTGTGGACATTACCAAAAAAGTTTTAAGTTTTAACCAATCTCCGAATGTCAAGCTCTATACAAATAATACTGAAAAGAATGTATGCAGCAAGTCTGACCTCATTTCTTCCTGACATGATGGGTTTTCCTTGCAAAAGCTCGGCAAAGATACAACCAGCAGACCATATGTCAACAGCTGGACCATAATTTGTGGCTCCAAGCAGCAACTCGGGAGGCCTGTTCAAACCATATCAACTAGAATCAACTAAATGAGACATGGAGTACATTTGGGAGAATGGCACAGTATTAATACAGGAGTGTCATCGACAACAAGACCTTCTATCCTTTAGAATTTAGATGTAAAGAATTACCTATAAGGTAAAGTGACTACACGATTAGTAAAATTTTCTTTGCGGAGATAAGAAGAGCATGAAAGCCCAAAATCAGCAAGCTTCAAGCTTCCATTATTATTTAGTAGAACATTGGCCCCTGCAGGAATTTTTTTTTTTAAAAATCTAAATTAAAAGTTTTAGAGAAGGGGATAATCAGACTCATATGATACTTACCTTTAATATCCCGATGCAGCACTTCATTGGCATGACAATAACGGAGCCCAGTGAGCAACTGCTTCATATAACACTGAGATAAACAACATAGGGGGGGGGACACAGTTTTAGTAGGCACAAGAACAATCCAAAAAGTCACAAATTTAAGATACTATGAGTGTACACATACCTTAATCTGAGGAACAGTAAATCTCAGGCCAGGACGATCTGAGAGGCCTGTCAAGTCATGGTCCATGTACTCGAACACCAAGTAGACGCCACCATTGTACTTGTTATTGTCTGTTTAAGAGGGAAATCAAATTCATAGGCACGTCAAATTACACATGTTAATGCAATCGCTCAAAAAATAACCAGAGAGATATTTTACCTGAACTCTCCTTAGTTGCAGCTAGTTGGTTATTTCCATCTGAATAAAATTCGAAATAAATATACGAGTTAAGCTACCATAAACAAAAAACATCAAATCATTAGATACTGTTCAACTAACTAAGATATGTTAAGCCAAAGATTATATACCTTGAGAAATCACAACCTCTTTTAATTTTACAATGTTTTTATGATGCAACCTGGTCAAAACTTTGATCTCCCTAATTGCACTAATAGGAAACTGCATTAAAAATAACCTCGGAATTAGAAACGTAAAATGACTCATACATGCCCACAATTAGTCTTTCTGAAAACAAGTGTAAGTAAATTGATCATCCTCTCTTCATTTAATGTAAAAAAGACTTAAAGCATTTTGTTAGTGAAAGTGCTCATTACAGGAAATGATATAAATAGACAAGAATATACCCCCTCCTTTTCATTTTCTGTTCTTATTTTCTTCAAAGCAACAATTTCCCCAGTCATGACTTCTTTGCCCATGTACACCTGTCTGCCAATCAAACCAAATGCAAATAAGATAGCTCCTCTCTATTCCACATTGTTGTCTTTACAGCACCAACAATGGACAGATTAGCTGAAAATGCATAATTACAGTACTGAAGGTCAATCATAGCCTTCTACAGTTGAAAACAAGCCAATTACTTGCACGTTGCAAATTTTCAACATATGAAAAGCTTATTCCTGACACTTGGAAGCGGATTTGCAATGCTCATGAAATGCAAGAGACGTTATGGACACTCAAACACTACCTAGACTCTTGGCCAATTCAAACTAAAATATTTTGTATCTAAACTGACAGAGGTGAGAAACAAATAATACACTAAAAAGGTTAAGAAAATCTAACAATCACTCGTAAACTTTAAGTTCTGGGAAAGTAATCTCCTTGATCCCAGAATCCCAGATAAGAAAGTGGCTATTATTGTTGATAAAGGAAGTTAAAATAAAGGAGAGGATCTTAATATTATTGCTTATGGGTATATCAACAGCTTGATAAGTATAAGATTGACGATCTTTGGACTAAAAATCACCACAAAATCTTAGCTATACTTGTTACTCTGTTAGGATTCAAAAAGATAGGATTATATATAGAGATTATAAAGATAATCACTCTTTCACCCCTTGACCTGATTTCTTCATACTCATCTCCCCTTGTCAGTGATAAGACATCAGAATTCTAAGAGCTAAAAGACTTCCATAATTTTAGGAATGCAGATTTCAATATCATAATCCCTGCTGATTCTTTTCAAATTGTCATATCTAGAGAGATTAAAGACACCCTAACAAAAGTAACAAGTCTGTACAGGAAAAAAAAAAAAGAACAATAGCCTAGAGGCAAGCCAATAAAAGGGGGGCTGTGGGTGTTCACATGCATCGCCTATTTGTCTCTTCACTCCGATTGCATTGTTAGTGGCACTTCAAATCACCTTCCACTGAAAGCTAAATAAATATAAAGTGCTCCTCTCATCCATTGGCATGCAATAGCAAACTTTATTTTAAAGAAACCTGTCTAAACTGGACACTTAAAATAACGAATCTAAGCGTTAAATGACATGCTGGAAGACGATGATCATGCTAGTAGGAGTAGTAGGGCCTTCAGAACACGCTAAAAATAACATTATCCTTATATGCACCCAGTTCTGATTTACCTTATGCTGGCCAACTGTAACTACAGGTAACCACTAAAAAATGCTGCATTAGTCTTGAAGTTTATTTCAAACCCTTTTTCCATAACACACTTTTCCAGCCTTGAACAGGTCTAATCAGTTTTTGCCATCATTGTTCCTGTACTTTCTGTTATAGCTATTGTTGTTACACTTCAACCTACAAGTCGATCACCATTACAGTCTCCATTTTCCATTATGATATAAAACAGAAGACTACTTTTAATCAACCTTTACATTAATGTTCCATAGCCCTCTAAACAGAATACAAGCTAATCAGTGCTTAAATTGTCCACACTTTAGCAGTGATCTGCACCATTTCAGGGTCACTTGAGTAATCCTTCAGTCAATGTTTTTACCACAGAATCTCTGAATCTTAATTACACCCCAATCTGATACATATACCATCATAAACCTAAATTCTATTTCCTTAAATTTCCTCCCTTCCTTTTTAAGGTCAATTTTATCACTTTATAGGGTTATTTTTTTACTTCAACACAAACATGCATGATGCATCAGACTAGATTACGCAAGAACAAATTAGCCAAAAAAAAAAAAGTCTCTCTTTTACAACATTATCTTATATGTATACCTTGACAATGCACAACATGAAAGTTTACCATTCACACCTTTTTATCATATTATCTTTAGCTAAATTGTTTATCAATACAGCAAAATCAAAACTTGAAAAAATGACAACTCTCCCCCCCCCCCCCTGCCACACACAAACCCAACAGCCAACCAACCAACCAAAACGTGAAAAAATGGTAATGAAGTGAGTTTGTTTACTTTCTTCCTCATTTTTATACTGATTCTGAAACTTTTTTGATCTTTAAAAAATGAATTCTTGTTTTCACTTATAATTCTTTCAACAACTTATTCACCAAGACATTCAAACACCCAAAATCTTATAACAAGACCTTAAATGATGCAGAATTGCAGATAAAAAAACTAAACCATTTTTATAAAACAAATCATCAAAAACCCAATTCCACAAAAGATCTAAAATGATTCAAGAACATACCCAGAACCCCAAATCGCTAAAATTCATATAAAAACATAAATCAAAGAGGATGTCCAGTAAATAAACAATGAAAATGGAGACAAAACAAAGAAGAGGAAATTGAAGTTACCCATAAGTTCCTTCACCAATTTGCTCCAATTTTTGGAAGCAATCAAGATTGCGAGAAGATCCCCGCAATGGCGGAAGTTCATCGAGATTTAACTGCCCAAGTTGTGCAACAGTCATCTCTCTCTCAAGTCTCAATTGTCTTGTTTGCTCTAATTTCTCAGGTTTTTCAGAATTTTTTCAGAACCCGTAACTCCTGTTGTTATAAAATGGGGCTGTGTGCCTGTGTACGCTTTGTATTAGGGGGGAAAAGAAAAAGGTAAAAAGAAAAGGGTCTCCTTGAAACCCACGAATATTTTCTTGACTAACTTTGCGGTTGAATGGATCGATCATACGATCCAAACTCGTGATAATCCCATACGGAGTTACGGAGTACGAGTATTTTGTTTTATCTTAGACATACGTTTTAAGCTTAATCCATCTATTATAAGTACATTATACTTGGGTTATATGGAAATTGAAGCGATTCTTTTTTTATCCTTGTGTTTAAGACGTCTTGTCTGCAAATTCGGATTGAGTTGGCTTATAAAAAGTTCTAAGATGATAGGAAACTTTTTTATGGAAAAAAATGGTATTTATTCTATGTATTTATAGAATTGTAGAAATTTATCTATTTGCAAGTTAGATATATTTGAATTTTCTTAAAATGTATCAACTTTTCAAAATTATTAACAATATAAAAGTAAAAGTATTAATGGTCGAGAAGTAATTGCTTTTCAATCACTTATTTGTGAACTTGATCCAATTTAGGCCTTTCTAAATTCTAACTATGTTTAATTATTTAACAGGCTATTGGTAGTTTTGGCACTACTATATATGTTCATTGTTCCACACACCACCCGATGCTTTCCCCCAACCCGCCTAATAACCAAGACTTCTCATTACGAGTCATGAGTCTTGTCGTTCATCACCTTAACAATAATGTAACAAATAAGGTGAATAATAATAAAATTATAATTGTAAATTAATGCAAAGTCATCAGTAGATCAAAAGTACATCTAAAGATGACACTGGGCCAAGCCGGCTCAAAGCCCGACACGAAAAAGCACAACGTGACACGGGCACGACACAGCACAGTACTGTGTGTGGGTTGAGGGTTGTCTTTATTTGGGAGAAGCACGGCTCTCCCGGGCCTGACACGACATATCATACTAAAATCAATGCAATTTTGCTTAAATACGCAAACCTGGCACGATGACACGTGAGACTAGGCCGTGCACAGGCCAACCTTTTAAAAACTTCGATCTAGCACGACACAAATTTATAGCTGGTCTTGTAGATCAGCCATAGCCCATAGCTAGCTGGTTCTGTGCTACAAAATTGAACATTTACTAAAAAAAAATGAACATTTTAGTAATTGAACATTTACTATTAAAAAATGAACATTTTCTAGCTTGGAGGGTGTGGGGGGGGGGCAACCCGCCTTTTCAGAACAAGAATACTCCAGATTGCATCATAGACAAGCGAGTTTATAGGCTCATTGAAGAGCATGGAAATTATAGCAAGCTCGTTTATGGGCTCTCTCATAAACCCCATCAGTCAAGTCCGAAAAGATGGACTCCACCGCCTGATGGGGTCATCAAATTGAACACATATGCTACTTTGTCTAATGATGGTTGTGTGGGATTGTGAGTCATTTCTCATGATTATGAGGGAAATGTTTTGTTTGATGATACAAGAAGAGTTAAGGCGTGGTGGTCTATTGAAATTGCAAAAGGTAAGGCAATGACAATGGCTATTCAATTGGGCAAGCAATAAAGGCTTCACAGAATAATTTTAGAATGAATATCATACGACATGGAAATGAACATATATTTTATATTAAAAATAAACATCATACTGCATAAAGATAAACATTTAATTATTGAAAAATACAAAATTATTGTAAAAAACGTTCAGTGAAAAAATGTTCATTTTTGTTATAGTAAATGTTCATTTTTAAATGAGGGACCATAAATATAAACCTGATCTCGAGACCATTCTTCAACATGGTACGACACGAAACTCGTGAATCGGGCCTGACATGAGGCACAACCCGATACGGCCTAGGAGGCTAGGACCATCTTTAGATACATCAAGCTGTTCCACATGGTGTCTAAATAACGAGAAAATATCATACGGTGTGGTGTAGTCGCTAACTCTGTACTCAAAACGCGGCTCCGCGGTCTTTTGTTTGTTTTTCCCCTCCAAAAAATCTTCTTTGTTTCTTCCGCGGTGGTCACTGCATCATTTTGTTTGAATTCCATCATCTTCTCATTTCTTCCCCAAATCAAACGCCTTAAAATTTCAAAACCCTTTCTTCATTTTCGCTGATTATTATTAGGGTTTCTTATGGCTCAATCGAATCATTTGGAATTCGGCAATCAATTAGGTGAGATATCTTTCATCTCTTTCTCTCTCTTCAGCTCTTCACCCGAATCAATTAATGTTATTGTAAATTAATTTAATTGCAATTTTGCATTGTATAATGACGTAGAATTGTATTATATTCATTTTTTTCTGGAAAATTGTAAGAGTGATTTCTTAATTAATTGATTGCTTGTATATGCGATGCATGAATTTCTAAAGAGATGCAATATTGTTGATTTCATTTGATTTTTATTAGAAAGGGTTGCATGTGTAAATTGGTAACTGATAGAGAATATCCATAGAATATTCTCATCCTAGGTTTAGGATATATTTTGTATAAGATTATCTTTGATATCTGTACATATCTTATAGTTACCTAATATGATTAGGTTTCTCATTGTAACCCTATAAATATTGATCAATGGAAATCACTCTAATCAAGGAGTTTACAGTATCTTCACATGGTATCACACCTTAGGTTAGATTTTGGGATCATATACAAAAATTCTCACCCTGCCGGTGGGTTAGAAAATTAAACCCACCGGCGGGATATACAAAGTTTTTTATGCTTCTCCAAACACACATATAGATTTTTTTTCTTTTCTCAAAGTTTTTTTTAGAATCTTTATATAACCTTGCGCCTCCTACCAACAGTAGCAATTGCAAAAGCCTCCTCCATCGTTGTTGGCAATCGCATACACTACCGCCTCCCACTACTGGTAGTAACCACATCTGCCAACCTACTCCATGTGCCACACTCTATTTCCACCTCCCCATGACCAACAATGATTCTTACATTGCCTCATTGGTTTTTTTTTTTACACATAATCACATAGATTTTGTTTTGGTGGTGGTATATCACAATAAGGTCAACTTTTGCACATCTCTTTTGCTATCAAGCTAGCTCCTTTTATTGTTGCAGCACTTGGAATCTTTGTGGAGTATTAATTCTTGGTACCTGGTTTCTCTTTTGAGAATTGATTAATTTCAAGCGGTGGGATTTAATCTTTTCTTGCGCAATTTTTTTTGTTTTTCATCAACTGTGATTTCACGTAGTAGTGTAGTGTCTTCTCCTCGATGATGGTTTGATCCGTTAACTTATTCTTCTCTGGATCTGCAAACTTGGCCCAAGTATATGCGTGACTCTTCTCCTTCGGCCTAAAAGCGCATATCTCTACTATACGTAGGTCGTGGTTGTTGCTTCTCATCGTCATCACCATCACACGTCTACTACTTCTCTTTTGATCATGGGTTACTATATTATCCTTACCGTTCGATGCGTGATTCAGATCCAGTCTGATCATCCGATTTTCTCCCGCTCTGACTGCGGGGGTGTGATAGAGAATATCCATAGAATATTCTCATCCTAGGTTTAGGATATATTTTGTATAAGATTATCTTTGATAGCTGTACATATCTTATAGTTACCTAATATGATTAGGTTTCTCATTGTAACCCTATAAATATTGATCAATGTAAATCATTCTAATCAAGGAGTTTACAGTATCTCACAGTAACGACTAACGAGTATTAATTTTTGAACTGATGACAAACCATGCATTGATCAATTTTTTATTTAAGCGGTCAATATATCCACTTTTAGCTTATTATTTAGTATAAGATTGTTTATATCATTCCTGTTATTATTAGTTATTTTGCTTAATGGTTACCTTTTTTTGCATTAATAAATAATTTATTCTTTGATGTATTGTATTCAAGAGAAACAATTAAGATTGATGATGAGGCATGAGTTGTTGTGTCTTTGATTTTGAGTGAATATCAGAAAACATTCTTGACAACTCAAGGATATTTTTTTGAGATTCTTTGTGCAAAAACTATGGGAAAATGGGTAATGATGTTTAAGTTCATAGATATGACATCTAATTATGAAACAAAACACAAATTGAACGACAAGTCCAAGTCTAACTCCTATAATTTAGCACCAAGCAAGAGCTTGATTGAAGTCAAAAATTAAGGATCAATAATGATAATAACAAACCAAAGAAGGTTACATGAAGAAAAATGTTTTTTTTTTTTGGCTAATCTGTCACTAGTTATTATAGAACCAACTCCGTATACTTACAACTTCTTTTGTAGTGGAAGACATTTACACTTTGTTTGGATTGGAAGAAATGGAAGGAAAAGAAGAGAAGAGAAATGGAGGGGGACAAAATCTCTTGTTTGGGTAAAAGAGTGGGGGAAGGAAGGGGAAGGAGAGGGAGGGATCCATTTTCCCTTTCTCTATAATAACCATAATCTCTCCAAAATTGGAGAGATTTGGAGGGAAAATGGAGCTCACCTCCCCCTCCCTTTCTTTTCCCTTCCCTTCCTCTATTTTCCCTCCCCTTCTTTTCCTTCCTTCTTTGCTATCCAAACAAAGCGTTAAGGTATATAGGAGAGAGATTGCTTTAAAAGGATATAATCCAAGCTATTATAAAAACAAAACAATATCTACTCATAGGAGGTTATAGTAATAGTATCATCTCAAGAACCAAAAGCAGTGGGTGTAGCACAATTCATGAGCATATATTACAGAAATTGTATCCTAAAATAAAATGTAATTTTTTAAAAAAGGGCTATTATCTAGATTGCTCAATTTTTAGTTGTTGAAGAGAAGGTGATATCGTGGTGAAAAAAGTGCTTAGCAAATGGAAAGCCGCTTTTGACTTTAAATGGGGCTTTCTGTAACGAGAATTTGCATAGGTGATTTTCTTTTTTTTCAACAGAAAAAGTGTTGTTCCTTTTGTAAGAAACAAAGAAAGATAATTGCAGTGTTTTTTGTCTTTATTTTTTTTGAAGAAGAAAAGGGATTAAAATATGGGTGCTTGCATGTTTTTCCTCTTGCTAAAGGTGATTTCTTCGGTTTAATTTGTTGTTGGCCTGTTGCCTATCCCTTCTGCCCATTGTTTCTTGTGTGCAGTGAATTTGTGGGTGTGTGTACATGTCCATGGTTCGAATCAACTCCTTTGCTTTTATCTTATCTATCATTTTGAATATTTTGGCATTGACATTGTATTGAAGTGTGTAGATTCTCCGGTTCCCCTTATTCTCA